TAGTGTTTGACTAATCCATACCTAGTATGTCACCGTCCCATACCGGTACATACAAATTCTCCATATAGCATAGTTATTAAAACAACACTATATAATCAACAACCATCCTCCAATATATGCATTGGTATAAATTCATACATATATCAATATTAGGTATTCACTACAGAACCTAAATATCATGCTCCAATCATTTAAACAGCTAGAATAAGACATAGCATTTGAATCCTCCAAAACAGCCAATAAATTGATACATATTAAACAAGTTAAATGTCAATTTAAATCCAACTAAGTATAGATAAATATAATTAATTTACCATACTTATAACACAGTAACAATATAGGGTTATATATAATTGAATTATATATAAAAATTTTGCCAAGTTCCAGTTATATAAACCTAGCAAAAATAGTGCAACGTATAGCCATTATTTGATCTGTTCATTGCTCCTACCCTTAAACCATTATGGTATTAAATGTTTTAAACATTTATTTAAGTCCCTAACATTTAATTACATCTCACGGTAGCTTTTAAACGGCTTCAGAAAACACTGCACAGCCAAATAACCCCTTAAAACCAAATATGTGCGCAATAAAGAGAGCAGGCTCAAATTAAACATTGAGCCTGCTCAATTTTCCACTTGGAGCCGGCTCCATTAGCATTGAGCCGGCTCCAAACAAAGATAGAGCCGGCTCCTTTGCCTTTGAGCCGACTCTAAGGCTTTTTAGAGCCTGCTCAATCCCCTTCAGTAGCCTTTTGCCCGTTCTAACTTCATCTTCTCCAGCTCCGGTGATTACAGAGCCTCTGAGGTGTTTCTAAAACTTTGTTCTAAGTTCAAGCTCAGTCCTAGGCACATATTAAACCACTTATATTCAACTAAAACATGCATGGAACACAAGCTTTAAAGCTACGATTACAAAACCTCTGTTGTCCAATTTTAAGCAAGTTCCAACAGAAATTTATTTCAGTTTAATTTAGTGCAACTAAATCATGTTCTAAGAATTTGTTCTAGAGTTCAAACTCAGTCCCAGATTAGTTACAAGGCATCAAGTCGCATCCCTAATCTCAACCATAAAAGCTTAATCGTAACCCATAAAAGGAAACAAAAACAGAATAGTAAGATCATGCAAAACAATTAATTCACGAGATTAAACATAAATTCCTATATGCACAAAACATATTATTATGTTTATTTACAACCGTTTTAGCATTTATTAAATCCCTGGAGTCCAACTAGTCATGCACAGAACACGAATTAACGAGAGGGAGAAGAACAGAACTTGCCTTTGAATTTCAGATTTGAAATTCTAATTCACCGTCTCTGTAAGCTATGTTCGTGTCCTATACTGCAAGTCTGCTCCTCCAATGCCTTGGTTCAACCCCAAAAACACCTCTCCTTCCTCCTTCTTGGTCCAACCTTGATCTAAACCTCCTCTCTTTTCTCTCTCTGTATCTCACTATTCTTTGTAGAACTCTGTTACGTAAATAGGTTTTATTGAATTTTCTAAAACCCTAAACCCACATGCGATTATATTTATAGACTTAAACATTAACCCTAATCCATAAATAACTTGACCCATTGAATATTCTAGGTTTAAAACAGTGTTGGCTAAACTAGAAACATAAAACCCTAAATTTAGATAAATACAATAAAATAATTAAATTAAAGCAAATAAATAATTAAATGCCCTAAAACAATTTAAAACAATTAAACCACACCAAAGAAATAAACAAATGCAATTTAACCAATTGATTACATAAAATACAATTTAAACAATTAATTAAATAAAAATACTATTTAAACAATTTATTAAATTTCAGGACTGTCCCTTTTAAAATTAGGGGTATTACAGGACTCATTTCACGGGAAAAAACTATTTTCACGTGTTTTGTGCGTGAAATTTTTTTGGGACAAATAGACCGATGCGGAAACTAGATTTTCTCTTTCTTTTCTTTTTCCTTCTATCCAAACTCCAAAAAAATTTAAAATTTTTCTCTTTTCTTTCTTTTCTAGTTGATTCCACCTAACCAAACGAAGCCTATAAAGTCATTAGAGACATTGCCGAACAACAATTATATATTCCTCCAAATAAAAAAAACTTAGAGAATTTATGCACTCAGGAAATATGTGCACGTGTGTATGTATGTGTATGTGTATGTGTTTGTGCTCGGGGTTGCTTTTGGAAAGCGATGTTTTGTTTTGGAAAAAAAAAACCACTAAAGGGAGGAAGTAGAAGATTTTTCAGTGTGTCTACTTAGTGGGATTTGAACCATCAAAAGGAAAATGATTCATAGGCCTAGTAGTTTTAAATGGTCTTCCTTAATTGCTTATAGCTGTAATTAGTTGACATAAATATTATGATTTATTTAAAAATGAAACTTTTTGTGCTTGAAATTTATAAGATTTAAAATAGAATTGGAAATCATATAATTTGAAATTCCAAAATATGATGTCCTGACATCCCATTAAAATTGGTCAAATTTAATGATATTTATAAACTACTTATCCCGTAAGTTATTAACTTACCTAACTTGTTTTTTTATATAATGAAATATAATATTACAATTTCAGTTAATAAGGATACAGTGTTAAAACAAATATTTCCTTTATAATTAAATTTCAGTTTATTACAAACTCCTATATGGAATTTTATTTTTAAAAGCAAATATTTTTTTATAATCGAATTTCAATTTATTACCACAAGAAAAAAAAAAAAAAAAAAAACAGATGGACTTTAATTTCAATATCTATCAAATTTCTTTTCATTTTTTTTTTTTCTCTGGTGCAAAATAAAACAACGAATTCATTTTATTAAAATGAGTGACTATTTAAGATTTGAACTTATATGTAGTTGTACTCATAACAATAAATTTTATTTTATTTTATTAATACTGTTCTTTAATTAAAAGTGTGGTGCTCCATGTAACAACAAGAAATATAAATTCAAATATTGTTATTCAATTAAAAAAAATACAAAAATCTTCCAGCTAAATTCACACAAATAAGTGAATTGCACAAAACTTCCATTCACTTTATGTGGGTATTTTTGGTAATAAGTCAAAAATAACTATTCCATTTGTTGAGATATTTGTTTGGCAAAATTTTTTAAAGGAGTGTTTTACTGCAAAATGTTACAAGTTTATTTTAAAAAAAAAACACAATCTAAAGCTCATACTACATATACATTTTTTAAATAACATTTTCACTTATTAGTCAATCAACCATGAGAAGAAGTTAACATTATTCTCCTCTTCTTTATTTTTTTAAACCCTAGTTCTATTTAGTTAGATAGAAATAGCAAGAAAATATAATAAATGAAAAATGAAAAGAAAAATGAAGTGAATGAAAATTAAATTAAATTTCTAGATGTATTTGGTTAGGATGAAAGTTTATTCAAGAAAATTGTAAAAAATATCATATTATATAGTTTAGATACCTAAATTATTCTTATTTTATAAAAATAATAAAATAAATAAATATGTCGCCCCAATTAAAATGTAATCTCTCCCACCCATCATTGTAACTAAATAAAGAAATATGTCACCCCGATTATTATTTCTACATTATCAATTACTCCGTATAAAAATTTATGATTGAAATTATTGAACTGGTTTAAATAAAATAAAATAAAAAACAAAATAGAAGAGATAAAAGAATAAAAAAGCGAGGAATAATAATAAAAAATAAAATAAAGTCTCTCCCTCCTATCTTTCTAACCGAATAAAGAAATTTGTCATCCCAATAATACAAAGGGATTATTACATATAAATAATGCTATTGGGCATATTTATTATTTGATTGAGTAAAAGTCTAATAGTTTCGAAAAAATAAAGTTGACAAAAATGTAGGCCTGGACATGAACAAACAATGTTCATTTGGTGCCACTTTTGGCACATCGATTGTGCACAAAAAATGGTATCTCTGTGCTCAAAACAAAAGTGGTACTTGCATACAAAAAAATTGTACATCATCAACCTTTTGGCCAAAAAACAACACTTTTTCACAGCTACATTAGCATTTTGGGCAACTTTATTTTTTCGAAACTACGAGACTTTGACTCTATAAAATAGTAAATGTGGGTGTTTAACATCTTTCCACCAAATTTTGGGTTGGTTAGGTTAAACAAAATTTTTTATGAAAAGTGAAAGTGAAGTGAAAGAAAGGAAAATCAAGAATATGCTTGGTTTGTAACTATAAAAACAATTTACTTTTTCAAAAAATTGAAAACAGAAAATTGTACAAAAAAAATTATGCTTAGTTCACATTACTGAAAACTATTTTATGAAAATTTAGTTATAAAAGGCATATTTTTAGAGAACAATCTTTTTATTGTTATCTGAAAACTATTTTCTGTTTTTGGAATTCGTCAGAATTGTTTTCAAAACCCTAAGTTTCCATCACACAGGAATTTTTTTTGAAGAAAGTTGTGAGAAAATTTTATTTTGTTAGTTTGGATAGTATGAAAAGGAAAAGAAAATGATTCTACTTACCAAAAATACCATCTAAACCTCTAAATTACACTATTTTTATTTTTATCAAATTATATATGGAATGGAGAAGAAAATAAGATACCAACGGGCCAGTGCCCTAGCGGTATCACCTCTTACCTCCTAAAGAGAGGCACGAAGACGAGAAAAAATTGATCGGGAATGATGATTCTTATTCTATTCCACTTTCTTTTATTCCATTCCATCATACCAAACTAGCCCTTACCATCATCAACCCTTAATCATTATCAATTATGAAAAAAATATTTTACTAATCTCTTGCTCCCAACCAATAGTTATCTATATATATTATATCAACTCTTAATCATTATCAATTATGAAAAGAAATATTTTACTAATTTTAGATCTCACGGAGGAAAAAAAGTGAAAAAAATAATTTAACAATAAACAAATTAAATTTTGAATGCACACATAAAAATACAAATAATTAAATTAGTAATACATGTATAAACTTTCTTTTCGTTTCTGGCTACTTGAAGGAATTTGGGATAGAATTGGTTAAATTAATAGAATGAAATGTACAGGCTCCATTTAGAAAAAGAAAAAAAAAAAGGTCAAAAAACTTATTTGGTACAGTACTATATCTATGATTAATCATAAACAATTCCCATTTACAAAGCGGTCTCAAATCCATCTATCCATCCATTCCACTTGTTCCACCAAACGGAGAATAATTGTTTGTTCGTCCAAGAAATCAAAGGGAGCCTAATTCCATCGAACATACGCGTCGGATTCCGACAAAACAAAGGTTGTGAGCTGGGGGTTGTGGCCTCGTCGAGGACACACATCATCGATCAACACCGAACACGACAGAGGAAAGAATTCGACGAGTGTAGCTAAAATTTCAGATAAATCCACGAGATGAATCTGTACGCACACGACCTATCTTTCTATGATTTCGGCTTCTCCGATCCCACCATCATCGACTCTCTGTCTCGCACTTCGTCGATGATCTCATCTTCTTCAACAAAACCACCATCAATTGGTGATAATTATGAGGATTATAAGCCCCCAGAAAGGCCGAAGAAGACGACTAGCCCTCCCAAGCACCGTCACGATGGCACTTCGCCTCTGCCTTTAGGCATGGATTGGAGTCATCCTCCTCGCAAATGGGTAATTTTATTTTTTATTTTAATTCAAACCTAAGTGATTTATCATCGCACTTGAATTGTATATCTCTCGATTGTTTGATTTATGGTATTTTTGGGTTTTGTTGAGTTCCAGTTCTGGGTTTTGTTGCTGATGATTTTATTTGACCCCCTGGAATGCACATAGTTGTTGTTGGTTTTGAATTTATTTTCTTAATTTTATTTAATTTAATTTTTTGTAGAGCTTTATTAGACTGAATTTGAGACAAAAGGAAGTATAACTTTCGGTCACTAACAAATTGGAGCATTGTATTTGTTGCCCCTAAAAACTAACTATTGACGGAATTGATTGGAGTCCCATCTTTATCTCCATCTGTTCCAATCTATAATCTACATTGATTCACGGTAGTATGGATGATTGCATTGCAGGATAAGTAAAGCAATATTTAGAAAAAAATTGAAAATGTAATAAATGTCAATATGGTAAACATTGTTTGCAATAAGATTGTTGATTGACCTAAGTCAAATGGGTTTTACTACACCTGAATAATGGTGTTGTAATGGGAAGGATGTCGGGTCTGTTTGGTTCCATTTTCAGGAAATAATTTTCTATCCCTGAAAAACAAAATCGGTTAGAAAACTTGTTTAATTGATTTTTATTTTTTTTAAAATTATTCAACAAAAACAAAGTTTAAATATAACAATTTCATAATAACCGTACTTGTAGTTTTCTGAAACTATTTTTATTTTAGAGAATTAAACCAAACAGACAAGTATTTGTGCAAAAACTGGTGAATAAAAATCTAAAATAATAATACTAAAAAAATCCCTCATTCCAAGAAAACTAATAGCAACAAGAGAATAAGAATTAAAGCACGATAAAACGGCAAATCCTTGGCTTGTTTGGTTCATTTCTCTAAAAACAGTTTCAAGAGTTTTGGCAACAAAAATATTGTTTTTAGAGAACTACAAAGTGCATTTTTTAACTCAATTTTGATCAAATTAAAAAAAAAGTCAACTAAATTGATTTTGAATTATTTTCTATTTTGTTCACTTATCCCTAAAAATAGAAAAGTATTCTTAGAAAAATGAACCGAGCAGGATCCTTGTTTATTAGGAAATTTAGAATCTGATGTAGATTGTTAACCTAAAGCACTTCCATAAGGTTAGCTGTCAGAGGGGTCTTGTCCCACATCGGATCCAGGAGGGGAAGAGTCTGGGTATATACGGGCAGGTGGGTGTTGCACTACCTAACAACAAAAGTTTTTGGGTCAAAGGGTAAGCGTCAAACTCGTTACAGTTGGTATCAAAGTCAGGCTTAGTCCGTGATCCGGTATCATGCCAAGCGCTTGGCCAGGAGTTGTCCGGGTAGGTAGGATGGTCCAATTGCAACTAGGGTGTTGCGATTTGGGGGGAGTCCTACATTGGATCCGGATGGGGAAGAGATTGGGTATATATGGGCAGGTGCTGCATTGCCCAACAACTTAAGCTTTTGGTTAGAGGCAAGCGTCCAACTCGTTACAGTTGATATCAGAGTCCGACCCAATTCTTAATTCGGTATCACACCAAGCGCTCGACCAGGAGTTGTCCGGGTAGGCAGGATGATCCAATTGCAACTAGGGTGTTGCGATTTTGGGGGAGTCCCGCATCGGTTCCGGATGGAGAAGAGATTGGGTATATATAGGCAAGTGCCGCACTACCCAACAACTTAAGCTATGGGTCATAGGGCAAGCGTGGCATGTTACTCTAGTCTAGTACACGATGCTCCCACCAATTCCATTACGGGGTTTGGGGAGGGTCAGATGTATGCAGCCTTATCTCCGCTTGGAGTGGCTGTTTCCGATTTTGAACCTATTAGACTAAAGCATTGGGGTATCCCAAACCCTTCGGTTCAAGCATTGGGGTGCCCTTATTTATTTGTTTTTTTTAAAAGAAGCATTGGGGTGCCCAAAACCCTTATGTTCTGTTGCTCACTGGTATCTCACTTACTAATTTGAATCTATCTCCTTATAGTGTTCAATTAGATCAACCCGAGAAAGAGAGAGGATCTGAGGAGAAAGCTAGTGACCAAAATTGAATTATTTACTAGTGTAATTTCGGGTCAAACTGTAATTTAGAGAGGTAAATGGAGAAGAAGAAAAGTCACAAGAGTGGTAAATGAGGGGGGTAGAGAGAGAGAGAGAGAGAATCAATATAAGAGGGGATGTTAAGAAGGGGTTAGGGATTAATAGTGGAAACATCTAGAAGCAAGAGAACCAGAATGAGATAAAATGGTAAAATATGTTATATTTGAGGGAAGAGAAAGTCACCGAGAGTAGGAGTAGGAAATGGCGGAGAGAGTAAGAATGGAATAAGAAAGTGAGGAAAAATTATGGTTGGATTTTAGATCCCAGGTATTATAAGATAGGAAATTATCACAGAAAAAGCCAGATACAAAAATGTCACTGCTAGAAGAAGAAGGGTTTTAGCAGATTTCATGTGTAATAATGCTTTATTGATTCTGCTATACCATATAGCTGCAATTTTAGTATTCTTCTTTCTAACCTTTTACCATTTTAAACTAGGGGGGAAAAACCCACCTATCCGGTTGTTGCTAATCGTGTCTTCATATGCCAAAGAACCAAGCATATCATTGCGGATATGTTCATTTGTTTTAAAAGTAATTCTTTTACTTGGTGAATATAAGGTCTACAACTATATGAATATTGTGAAGCATGTCTATTGAGTTTATTAACAAGCTCAATACTTGTATTATTGTCTTAATGGTTTGAGTGACATATTCATATACTTGTCAATATGAAAGCTATTCTTTTGTCTTACGTAAAACATTTATTTTCTTTTGATATAGGATGGACGGAACTCTGTGTGGCCACATGATCCTCACACGGGGTGGAGTTATTGTGTCACAATTCCTTCTTGGATTATTCTACCAAAATCAAGAGGTTCAGATCCTGTGGTGGTACGCATTATTGTTTCTTTTTCAACATACTTGGTGGTCTTCTACTTTCACAAATATCCATTCCTGCATCCAGTGTTACTTGACTTTAGACATCTTTATTATTCTTACATTAGGTTCAAAGTCAATTCAAGTTAGTAATTTTTTTTAAATATCTGGTTTTACTCGATTTATATAGCTACATCTTTGGATCTATGCTTGATGTGGTGAACTGCAACTTGAAACAATAATCATTTATCCATAACATGATGTGGTTCTTTCTATCTCGTATGTTCACATACACATGCAAAGAGCACTACTTTCCTTTTGTATGTCGATTATTTATTTGTAATGCACTTGTACACAAGTAACATTAGTGCTTACATTTCTATACTAATATAAAATTAAATGTTTTTCAAAATGCTGTTGTCCCAAAGGAAGGCAACACTACTTGATCGTTTTTGTATTTTAAATGCTTGATCAACGGAGTTGTGTGTAGGGATGACAATTTGTCCCGATTTGTCAGGTTTCTGCTCCTCCCTTCCCCTACTAGGACGGGTATGGGAAGCTTACTAATTGAGATATGGGCGGGATTGGGTAAATGAAGCTGAACTCGACTCAAGAAGGGAAGGGATCAGGTTTAATAGTAATTCATCCCACCCACCTCTCCACTTATATAGCTAAATTACTATGATTTTTTTTTTTTTGATAAGTATATAGCTAAATTACTATGATGTTTTATTTTACTTTTAGAGTATACCTTGCTTTCCTCTACCATCTGGTCCCTGCGTCTCTTAACTACCTGAGCATTTCTCAGCTTCTTCACCATCTAAGCATCTCTACCTTCTCTGTTCCCGCTGCGGTTCCACCACTCAATCGGTTCTGTGTCCTCTGCCTATCCACCATCTCTCTGCCTTAATTTCTTCTGGTTTTTTGCCTCTTCGAAGTGTTTATTTTTCATTATTGTTTGTTTATCTATTGTAGGGTTTTTGTTTCTCTCTCGTAATTTATTATTTTGATTAAATGGACTAGGACAGGCAGGAATGGGGCTATAATCGGTGATGTTAAACGGGCATAGGATTTGGAGTACAAACCCATCCCACGTTCGGGATGAGAACCGGTTGGTGTGTTAGATGTGGGGATGTTTGTTAGAGGGAGAGAGAGAGTGAGAAAAAATTGGGTAGAATTGAATATGCCAGCTTTAAAAGGGCCAATTCGGCCGTTCGTCCCTGATTTGGTCAAGTCCCTCTGAGTCTATTTTGTTTTTGGTAAGTAATAGTTTTATCAAAGAAGAGGAAACATGACGGGTGAAAGAGGGGCAAACCTCTCTATGCATAGAAGCTATAGAACCTCAGAGAGCCTCAGCAAAAGCTATACATGCATTAAGCTCGGTCAAGGATAGATACATGTAAATGAATTTCTAAATGAATCATGTCTAGATATTCATGCAGTAATCTTTTTTAATATCCTTTAATGAATTTATAGACACGATTCATTTCGTGAAATGAAATTTAAGTCGCTGCCAACTAGAAAAGTTTACTGAGTTTTACCTTTCACTACTTCTTTTACCACAAATGCACTAAGATTTTATCATAAAAATCATTAAACAAAGGATGTCAAGCAATAAAATCATTGAAAGATATTTGAGAGAAGTTTTTCAGGGTTCAATTTGAAATCTTAAATGGCAGTAGCAAAAAGTTATGCCTTATTATTCTGAAATGTCTAACTACTGGTGGAGCTTTTTCTTCTATTTTATAAAGTAATAGCAATGTTTTAATTATATAATTTCTATATAGACGGTTTTTGTGATTGAGGTAATAGAGTTGGTCATATTGTTATAGAAATTTGTTTACCACTTATTTTTTTGTGTAATTGTTTGCGATAATATACCTTGCTACTCTTTCTTTGTCGTTTTGAGCTTTTTGGCACTGTCTCTAGTAAAATGAGGTTGAGTGAGGCTTTTCTTTTAGTCTTTGCAATGGTGAAAAAAAAAAAAAAATCTCATTTTCTGTGTTAACATTCATATGGAACAGTTTTACAGATTACAAGTTGCTATACAATCACCAGAAGGGATCACGTCTACTCGAGGAATATTACGAAGATTTAGTGATTTCTTGAAGCTGTTTTCTGAAGTAAGTGTTAATGCCTTCTTCAATATTTCCATGAGGATTGTCCAATGTCTTACATGTTAGTGATTTCTTGAAGCTGTTTTCTGAAGTATGTGTTAATGCCTTCTTCAACATTTCCGTGAGGATTGTCCAATGTCTTACATACGAGTATTATGGATCATTTTCCTTTCTTTTATCTTTTTTTTGAAATAAGTAAACCTAAGTGTGCAGTCCACTTAGAATTTGGTGATTCATTGAATTTAATTAATATTCTGAGAGAATTTTAGTTTTTCATCTGACATGATTGTGTGTGGTTGAAAGAAAAAATGCTCATTTTGGTTTGTGCCTGTATTTTACAGCTCAAAAAGACATTTCCTAAGAAAAATTTGCCCCCAGCTCCACCAAAAAGGCTTTTGAGAATGAAAAACAGAATGCTTTTGGAAGAGGTAGGCAACTTTTTGTTCCTTTGTTTGTCTGGCAGAGTTTTCATATAGTTCTGCATGATAATTACAATGTCAGTCCTTGATTTTTTTAGAATTTATAAATGATCTAGTTGTCCTTACAAAATTAATTGTAATAACCATTAAAAGTGCGACTATTGATTATTTGAGTCGCTTAACTGGTTGTCTCTGTCCAAAATCTTTTATATGTTTATATTGTTACAAGAATAGATATCTCCCATGTCTATGCTTTTTTGTCACACCAGTGTTGGCACTTGAAGGTAATATAGTATCCTAGCCAAAAAAGAACGAATTTTTTTTTTTAATAAGTGCATGTTGTGTGGATATATTTACCTTTTAACCATTGTGGAGGTAAGCAAAGTCAGATTTCTGTAAAAGTTATGTCTTAAAGATGAGCAAGCACCTTCATTCCCAAGCTTGGGAAGCTTGAAAGAAGCTAATAACCAAATGCCTACGGTTTGTCTGGAAGAACCATTTGCATTTAAAATATTGCTAAAATTGATGCACGGTTTAAATTATTTAGGTGAGATCCTTCAAAGTTTTTTTTTTTTTTTTTTTCAAAAGTTGATTAGACACATTGTGCTTGAGGTTTTAATTTTTTATTATTTTTTGACAGGTAATAAATATACACACACACACACACACACACACACACACAGAGTTGAGGTTGAGGTATAATGCTATATGCTGAAGAAAATAGTTTTGATTTATGAAAAAATTAAAGCAAATTAAATGCGAATAAGAGGTTGGGAGGGAAGCTCTACAACTAAGTGTTTAAGATAAGTCTAAAATTGAAAAAATGGAATGTAGTTTCTACAAACTAAGAATAAAAATGAGAAAAGTTTTTTCACAAGGAGGGAGATATTTGAGATAATGTTCTTAAAATCAAAGCATAATAAGTGGAGGCTGTTTTCTGCATATTGTGTGATTGATGTATTCCTCTAAAGCTGAAAGGTAGCTTCTAGAATAGTTACTGTACTAAACATTTCTTGTTAATTGGAATATTGGAAGATTAGGAAACAGTGTGTTTAAATATGACTTTAGTGGAAATGCGGTTGTTGAGATGGATGTGTTGTAAAACTAAAAAGATAAAACTTAATGTGAATACATTTGCAATGGAATTAACATTCCTTGGAAATAAAATGAGACTAATCCAGCTTAAGATGGTTTTAGCATCTGCAATGAAGACTAATTAAAATGTAGGAGAGACAGCTCTACTTTAGGTAATGATAGGAGAAAAATGAAGACCAAAATTAACATGGGATTGAGGCAGTAGCATAGCATGTAGTTTAGCTGAAGTTATAGAGTTGGAGTGGAATAACAAATTAAGATTCATGAACCAACCCTTAATAGTTGGGATAAGGTTCTGTTGAGTTTAATTGACTTGAGATTGTATGCTAACATGAAGTCCACTAGGCTATATTGCATGATTTTCAGTGAATCTTGTCTTGTAGAAATTGTATATGTGTGGTGAATAACAAAGATCTGTTTATGTTACCTGGACTCTTAGTATGCACGAGATAAAGTTTTTGACATGTCTGGCTAAACATGCACGTGTAAAAATTCAAGTTTTACTGTACAATATATGTAAAAGCACCATTTTATCCAAGGAAATAGAGGAAGGGTATTGAACAATATGATCATTAGCCGTGTTCCCATGTCCTTGGCTTTGCATTTTTTAGTATTAAGGACATACCAGACAACCAGGGTGAATCACCTATGTTTTGTGCAAACGTTAAAAATGTTGAACAAATATTACTTCGTATTTAACCATTGTGGAGAAAAAAAAAATTGCATTGCTTATTAAACACGAATGCTATATCTCAATAAGACAAGTATGGAGAGTTGAATTTTAGCTTAATTAACTTTTAGTTGCAGAATTTAATAATGGAAGTTGACACATGGCTATTAGCTTCAAGTATCAATTATCAAATGATACTGATGCATCAGGAAAGGGATATTGGTACAAGCAATCTGGAATTCAGCCTTCCCTTGAATTTTGGAGCCTATCATGGAGTATCGGTCAACACTTAAAGGGGATCAGTTGATTTCTGGTATTTTTTCTTTTCAGTCAGTAATCAGTATCAGCAGGATTGTCAGATGAATTGCTGACTATAAATGTGGTTTGAAACCTTTTTTTTTTTTTTTTTCTCTCTCTCTCTCTCTCCACACAGGTCTCTTCCCATACCTCAAGAGGTATTTCCTTCCTTTGGTTTTGTTATGGTAAAAAAATTGTGGTTGCATTTATTATAATCCTGGAATTTAAAAGTGTGGAAAATACCAACTTAATTCAACTGAAGAAAGTCTTAATTAGATCCAAGTATATGTGATTAGATCTAGAGACTAATAAAAAAGGCAAACCCAGCGCAGGAGGCTCCCGCCTTTGTGTGGTCTGGGAGGTCAGGTGTACGCAGCCTTACCCCTCCGCATGCGGACAGGCTGTTTCCTTGTTTCGAACCTTTGACCTCCCAGTGGGCTCACCCTCTTCTAGAGACTAATTCACTGGGAAAAACAGCCAAGAGATTAGGTTTGTTTTAGTTAACGCTTCCCAATTCCCTGCATTGATAGTCCCAGCACTAGGACTTTATATATAATACAAAAGGAATTGAACTCAACTCAACAAGGTATTTTCTCAACTACTTGGGGTTAGCTACATGTATTTTATTTTTCCATTATTTCGGTTTAAGGAAACAGCCTTAATCAAACCACATGTTACCATATCTTTCCTCACACACCCACTTTGCCCTATGGGGACTTGAACCTCGACCTTCTACTTTGGAAAGTGAGGAAGCACCACTAGACTACAACCCTTGGTTTTCCTTACTAACCCATGCTAATTTTGGTCTTCCCCTTTCCCTAGGATTACCCATAATTTAGAGATATAAATACTCTTATCAAGGCATAACTTAATAGTATTTGATTCTACAGAAATAGAGATTCAGTACTGTATCAATTCATAACTTAATACCGCATCAATAATCATGATGCTTATTTTTGGAAGTCGCAGAGAATTTGTTCTATCTCACTGAGTAAATAGATGCCTGCTTATAACTAACGGTATGTGTAGCTCTATAGAGAGCTGAATGGTGAGATAGAATACGTTCAGCCAAACCTGTCAGTAGGATTTAAGGCAGTGTTTGGTTGGATCAAGTTGAGAATTTTTGCAGTATGTTTACAATGGATGTCAATATTATGTTACTGATGACATTTAATTGGGTCCATTATTTCTAAATAACTGGCAAATCAGCTGTTATTTTATCAATAAAAAATTGTAATAATATCCTTAAAATGGTTAGTTTTATTGCAGCGAAGGTGTTGTTTGGAGAATTGGATGGAGGAACTACTATCTGATATTGATTTGTCAAGAAGTGCTCCAGTGGCGATTTTTCTCGAGCTAGAAGCTTCTGCAAGGTCGTGTACGTGCCTCCTTGCTGCATCTTAGAAATATTATATATTTCCTTTTTGGACTTCCACTTAAGACATGTTCCAAAGCAACCTGTACTACAAATGAATAAATAAATCCGAAGCAACATCATATGAGATTGAAAAAAGAAAAATACAAACACCATATCGAAAATGGTATATTTTGTTAATGCATTCTTTTGGTATTGTGATTCTTTTCTGCAGTTTATGATTCAAATCAGCAGGTTTCAGATGTAAATTCTTCTGCCAGTAATATGGCTCTTGCATATCAATTCCAACCAAGCTCAGATGTTTATTTGTTTGGTGGTAGTTCATCAATCGCATCAGATTTTGGCCACACTTCTACGTATGAAATATCTGAGCTTGGAACACCAAGCCATGGAAGGGATGTATATTCCGAACTTGGCATGGAGAACACAGCATCTGACCAAGAGTTGGCTGGCACAATAGAAGCAACTATTAATGATAAATTGTCTAGTAATGTTAATGGCCAGTTTATGGGAGGATTCATTCAAGCAAACCAAGAAAGGTTTTCTCGGCATAAAATGCATTTCAAAAGAGATAACAGTGCTGTAGACAGGTATAGAGTTAATGAAAATAGTTCTCACACTGAATTTCATAACGAGGATGAAATGGAGCTATTGTATGAGCCAGAGAACCATAAGTTTCGTAGTCATGTTCGGAGATTGTCAACTGGAAGTGTTGGAAGTGATGTAAGTTCTGTAAGAGCTAGTGAAACATCAAATTCGGTGCTGGCAAATTCAGTTTGCGATTACTCCCTTGACCTTCCTGAAGGTGTTGAAGCTTCAAGAACCGTGAATCTTCTTGGTGTTTCAGATTTACAGTTTCCAAGTGACTTATTAGTTGCACTTCCATCAGATGAACGGCATAAAATGAATAGGGTTCTTATCACCATGCAGCGGAGACTAGCTACAGCAAAAACAGACATGGAAGACCTTATAGCAAGATTAAATCAAGAGGTTGCTGTGAGACAATTCCTTACAACAAAGGTATAGTCCAACACTAATCTATTTTTTCGTATATAATTTTAGAATCTATCTGTTTGATTTCTAAGTGGAGAACATACTTTCTATTCTTCCTCAGTTAGTAGGGTCAGAATTGGATTCTTCAATAGTTTGGTGGACTCATTTGGTAAAATAGGTGTCACATCACCTTCATTTTATTGAGTTCTATTTTGGTGGAAAATTGATTTTTCCAGAATATTGGTTGATCCATACCAATAATTTACATCAGTTGTCTTCTTTGGTAGAAGAATTGTACTGGTCAAGTTGAAAATATGTTCTTTTGATAGGTACTTTGTCATTTACAATGGCAGTGATAAAAATTTTTAAAAAAATTATCAATTATTTTTGTTTTGATGTTTTTTTTTTTTCCTCTGCATTTTTGGTACTTTCTCATGAAGTATTATTGTTGTTGACAAAGGGATAAGATAGGGTTGTCAAGTTCAATTTTTTGCCATTCGCGACCATCTTTCTGGTTAAAGTAATAAAGATTAGACTGGTTTTAATTTTGAAAGTGCAACCACTTTTGGTGATTTAATGTCTTCAACTTGGTCTACGTTATATTAGTGAGGCAGCTTTAGACTTGAAAACATATGTACCACATCCACATATTGGCACATAGTGTTCTGTATAGAAACTTAACAGTTGAAATGGGTGTAAATCATATGTTCCGGGACCTTAATATTTCCTTACATTCAGGTTGCTTTTACTGAGCATTTTTAACCACTTAATGTCTATGAGTTTTAACTGTCCGAGGAATGATTGCAAACATATGGCTGTGGAAAAACAATTGGAATATAGTTAGGCTTATTAGGGTTTTGTATCTGGTACAACTCTTCCTAAGAACTTGAATCCCCCTCTCTCTAAATAGAAATTTAAAATAAGCGATTTGTTCACATTGGACCATATGTGAATATAGTAACTTGTGTTCCGGGAGGCACGCAGCTCATTGTAGCTTTCTCAACACATCAATTCCAAGTCCCTTGAATATAGTAACTGGTGTTCCGGGAGGCACACAGCTCATTGGAATGAACTGTTGCTCCTATGACACTATTCATGAAAATCATGATTTCCAAAGTGACATTGCATGGCTGACCTTTACTTAATTTTACATTTGGACTTTCTTACTAGATGGTTTAGATCTTCACTCATGTCCCTACATGTACTAGCTGCAATGTGTTATTTTTTTAATAGTCCAACAAGATTCTCTTGTAGAAATCTGTAAGTTTGTAGTAGCTGTAGACTTTGCTGGACAACTCGCAATAAGTACTTCTCTATCCAAAAGGCATTTTGCTTAAATAGGGTAGACCTTGAACATGTTGCTAGCAAATTCCATATATGACAAGTCTTGTGTTGTAACTCCCTATTTTGATGTCAATGTGTGTTATTGTGATTCAAGCTGAGTATCTAGATCATTGAAAGCTGCAATGCAAAAGCAAGAAAGATAAAAAAAAAAAAAAAAAAAAAATGTATATAATGAAATTTAGTTTGCAAACACTTGGATTTGTTTAGATGTTTTTGTATGGTATTCTTTTGGAAAGTTTTAAGTGTTCTAAAAAAAGTGCAGAAAAGTTGCACTGCTACATTTTTTATCTGGGAATCTTCTACCTGGTACAAAATTTACTTCCACCGGTGCAATTTTAGTCCAACAAGGTGTAAAAGTGATTTACTGGAAAAGTTGCACTGGTGCATTTTTAAATTTTTATTTTTATTTTTTTTAAAGCAATTGCAACTCACTCCATTATGTTCTGTACTGGTACAACTATTTTTCTACCGGTACAACCTGTTCAGAATTTAAAATTTTCAAGAAACTGCTTCTTTTTCATTGGTTAATTCATGCAAGAATTCCCAACCAGTTTCTATGGCTTTTAGTCCAAATCCTAAGGACTTTGTTATGTAAATACATATTTTAACACATAATTACATGACTGCACAAGTATTCACAAGCGAGAGGGTTCTTGAAGCAATTTTCAAAAAGTTCTATGTTTCTTTGAGATTTTTTTTGGGTGAGCTAATTTGCTTTGGATCTTCTAAAGCAGTACGTAGTATGTGAGTTATACTTTGTTGTTCTACATGGTGAATCTCAGAATTGCGAAAATGATAAAGCAGCAGATTTTCATGACCTGTGGAGACTTCACTTTGAGAAATTTGGCATACAATTACTGAAGAAAAGAAGTGGATTGCTAGATGGTGATCTTGTTGACATGGAGAGCAGTGGACTGATGATTATGGGAGTAGGAATTTGGACTGCTTGGGCATATTTTACGTCAGGGGTGGTGATTTTTGGGTAGAGTTCGCATTTGCAAGGATAGTTGTACTCTTTTATCTAGAGTTCGCATTTGTGAGGATAGTTGTACTCTTTTATCTTCTAGTGACTGGTTTGCTTGGGATGGATTTTGTTTATCCCATTTGGGTTTTCACATACAAAATCTGTTATTCTTCTTTTACTTGGGTTTTTATACTGTTTGTCTGGTTATCATTGTGTGATTGATTAGTTTGAAATTAAGATTGATTTATGTTCAATCAAAGTAAGTCGAAGACCTATTTACCTCCTCTCTGGGCTTGCTTTAAGGTTTTGAATCACACTTTTGGGATTTCTGACTGCATAATTTTTACACGTGGGACATGATCATGTGCTCTAGTAGGACTTGCAGCAAATCTACAATGGTGTAGCATGGAAATAGATTTTCCTTTATGAAAAATTTATGTCGGCCAAGAATTAAACTGATTTGGTAATTTTAGATCATTAGATATGTATATCTTGTTTTCCACTACACCTAATTGATTTGAATTGCCCGATGCAATCAACTTCTAAGCATCTTAACTTTGTGATACGTGTGGATTTCTTAGGTAGCACCAGTTTATTTTTGGATCTTCAGGAAGAGCTTGATTTCATTATATGAGGGGGCATTGCTTTTTGCATTAGGAAAAGTTTGGGATTATGGGCATGAGGATTGCAGGTTTTGGTTTGAGAACAACCCCTTTGTGCAAAATAATACTCTCTGTCCCACAAAAAGTGTCCACCTTTCCATTTTTGGCTGTCCCAAAATAATTTTCCCAATTCAAAATCCAATGTACTATTTTTTTAATGTTCCTAATTTACTGTCCTTGCCTTGAAGTTATAAAAGCAATTAAAGTTTTAAATAATACCTCATGTGGACCCACCATAGAAGGGTATATTTGAAAATTCATTCCCTACCGCTATAATAAAAAACATTAAAAACTACACCCTTAAAAAGTTAGGTTCCCCAAAAGGGACACTTTTTATGGGACGGAGGGAGTATCAATTATTAGGTCTCTTCCCAGTCTCCCTCTTTTAGCCCCCATATAAGCAAGACCAGCAATTGGCAATGCCATTTTTTATACATGATTTCACTATGTTAGTTAATGAGATGCTTTAACTTTTCAAATACAAGAAGAAGAAGAGTAAAAATGAATGTACGTTTTAAAGATCTTATGGCTATTGCAGTAAATTGTCAGAACAAAGATGCTTCACTATATGCTTTTACTTGCGTTTGACAATTTATGGTTACAAATATTGAAATAAAGTTTTGCAATCCATTTTTTCTCTATCATACTCTGTGTTCTATGTTTTCTGCTTGCTACAAGAGTTGATGTGGATAAGCAGTGCAAGGCCCAGAAATTTGAGATATTTTACATGTACACAAAGTACTCCTGAATGTGAATGTTCTGATTGATGAAGAATAAATTAAACTTGTTGTCTTGGTTGGGTTAGCCATTATTGAGGCGGCTCGGTCACTTAGCCAAAGTCTAGATGCTTTGTCTATGCTGGACCTGGATTGCATTTGTACAATGAGGAATCTGTCAAGTAATCTGGATTAATTTACGACATGATTGGAAGATAAAGCTGAAGTTTATTCTTTATTTTGTTCCTTTGCAGTTACTCATCTGTGCAGTTAACTCAAGTGCTTAGGATGTTTGGGCAATGCCGCAGTTACTATAATATTGATTGAAGTTTTGAAATTCGTAGAGCATGTTTTCAGCAATAAATTAATGAATTCTTGGTCTCTAAATAAGCTAGTTGTTTCATATTGTTATTAGCCATGCAATTTCAGTTTTTTGATATTATCGTGCAGTGGATATAATTGACTTACGAGGATCTTCTCTTTACAGGTCAAAGATTTGGAAGTGGAACTTGAAACTACCAAACAGTCTGGTAAAGAAAATCTGCAGCAAGCTGTTCTAATTGAAAGGGAGAGATTTACTAGGATGCAGTGGGATATGGAGGAACTTCGGAGAAAATGTATGGAGATGGAGCTGAATTTGAAGTCTGAACAGGTTCTAATTTTTCTGATTCTCATCTAGATACTATATTAGATTTTTTGGGTGGCCAAATGATGTGCTGGAATATTTCAGGATGAAAAGGTCCGGATAGAGTCCACAAAAGTATCCATCATTCAGGAGAATGATGTGCTCCAGAAGGACTTAGATGTTGCGAGGGAGCAGCTGGAGAATTTGCAGAAATATTTTGAAGAGTTGGAATTGAAGTCAAAGGCAGATCTTAAACTCCTTGTCAAAGAAGTTAAATCTCTTCGGAGTTCTCAGACGGATTTGAAGCAAGAGCTTAACAGATTGTTGAAAGAAAAATTAGAAGTAGAGGTATTTCATTTCTTAACTAATCCACCTGCTGAATTTGTTAATTTATTGAGTCCCGTTGTTGATCTTAAAGTTTAGATCCTAGAGCTCTCAAATTGCTTTTCTTTTGTAAATGTCTATCTAGATAAGAACAAAAGAAAACCTAAGAATTTTTTTCTCATGATGAAGTACCGTTTAGTTTGTTAGTTATATTTGCCTGGATATATTTGTTTTGCCGAGTATTGTGTTTAGCTTCTCTATTCTATGTAAGATATGATTTTTCGATTAACTAACTTTTTTATTATTTTGTCTTAATATATTTTGAGTATTGTCATAGCCAACCCCAAGTAGTTGGGAAAAAGGCTTAGTTGTTGTTGTCAATTGCTTCTTATTTTTCGTGTCTGTAATTTGTTTCTCTGACGAGTTAAATGAGTATTAATATATCCCGCTGCAACTTTCATATATCAGAGGGTTATGCAGAAGGAAAAGCAAATAGGGGAACATGCAAATGCTGCTAATGCAAAATTGCTGCATGAATGTGAAATTCTTCGCAATCGACTTGAAGAATGCAGTGTTAATTTCCTTATTGAGGAAGAAGATAAATTGATCATGGATACTTCATCACCATCTGATGCTATAGATCTCTTGATAACATCTGATAATCGAATCGGTCTTCTCCTTGCAGAGGTATGTTTTATGACTTCTTTTTTCTTTCTTTTTTAAATCCTTTTTATCATACTTAATTTTGGTTTACCCGTGTCATGTTCTTCGTTTCTAGATTGATTCATTAAAAGATTGAACTTTTGAATTAGGAGAAAGAAGAAAAAAAATTGAACTTATGGTTTTGCATTATTTGTTTTGTTTCTTTCTGATGATCAGTTTCAGTTGTAGGATGTTCTCTACATTTGCTTTCTATCAGTGGGCCAACAGTTTAAACTGTGATGCCATAGATGAATGAGTTGCTCTAGAGAGACTGAAAATTATAGGTTGACTGAATTATCTTTAACTGATTGGCTAAATGGCATCACAATCCGTGCAAAGAGGTGCCCACTCTTAAGCTCCACATATGAATTGGCTCATTGCTGCTTTATTTGCTAAATGTTATATGCAAAAGTGAGAGTAACAAAGTTGAGCCCATAAGCACCTAATGCAAGGAAGCTTAGGACCCATTTGGCATTGTTCCACCTTGTGATGGGCACTTTTTACACTCAATTCCGGTAATTACCTAATGCTTGTGGGACAGTGGGACTGCATGTGCCCAGTGTTGGACCATGGGGACTAAGAAGTCTGACTCCACCATTGTCGGCAATATATATATATATATATATATATATATATATATATATATATATATATATATATATATATTCTTTTTCAATAAATAGATTCTTTCTATAATTACCTCTACTTGCAAAAGTTCCAAATTTGAGCTTTAGCTAAAAGCTATGCTAAACCAAAATCTCTACCACCAAAAAGTACTAAGTTTTTGTTGTCCAACACATCTAAAAGAGTGTTCAAATTAAAATCACTTTTAATTTGTCCAACAGCAATGCCCAACGGGCACTTGGACCTTTTGGCCAATTCTTTTCTTTGGGAAGAGTACACAGAATTAATCTATTATTCACCCACTGAATGCATGGAAGCTTAGAGTTCTTACCTGAGTGAGGAGTAACTCAAAATTAATCTATTATTCAACTGTTATGATATCCAATTACATTGGTAAATACATGTGTGCAACAGAAAGGGGAAGGGATGGGAATCCATTTTTTCAGGTGTAGCTATACTAGAGTAGTCGGCCTTGTTATGATATCCAATTACATTAGTAAATAAATTTTGCACACATGTATTACAAAGGAATTTATATACTAATTGAATAAAAGTTGGCAAAAAATTAAGATGATCATATATTATACGCGAAAAAGTGTATTGGATACATTAAAATTAAAAGCATTGAGAAATACATAAAAATCGAAAGGTCTAAAAATTAGTAGGACTAAAATAGTATTTATTAGATGTAGATTTAATAGTGCTTTGGAAAATGATAATATAACAATTCAAGACCAAATGATTAGTCAAACTAACTGTTTCGGATGTTAGGACCAATAATACAAGAGTGTACAAAGATAGATGATGATGTTATGTGTAAGATTGGAATAGATCTGACAAAATGGGGGCAAGTTTAGTAGTGTCTTGTCAATTGTGTGATAGAAGAATATCAGTAAGTTAAAAACGAAAATTCTATAGGATTAATATTAGCCCAGTTATCTTAATATGAAGCAATTGTGCTGGGCATTTGAATGGAAAAAAAAAATGCATTAATGTTAGCTAAAATTAAATTGTTGAGATGGATGATAGAAGTGATTAGAAGATATATGATTAATAATCGTTGTGTGAGGGAAAAATTAGTTGTTGTGTATCTATTAGTGATAAAATAAAATAAAGGAGATTGAATGGTTTATACATTGTAGACCTATGTATGCACCAATAAAGAGAAGGAAGATAAGGTTTATAAAAAGTATTATAAATGAATTAAAAATTAAATATAATTGGAGAATTGGCTTACACAAATAGAAAAGAAAATTTCACATGCATGACATACAAATTATACAATACTAGTGCTCTAAAGATGTTCTAGCTCAAAAAAAAATTATGTCTCGACATTCATGCTCATTCATTCAGTCCCTTTTTTTTTGACTTGTGTACGTAATGATGAACAGGCACAGCTACTTGCTCAAGATGTTGAGAGTGCTGCTGCTGCTGCAGCTGCAGCTGCTGCTGCCAATTCTAATATCAATGGTGGCAGCGTGAGGACAAGAGATGATGATTTGAGAAAGATGCTAGCGGATGTTTTCGTAGACAATGCTAGACTGAGGAAACAGGTCAATTCTATTGTCCGTTGTGCTCTCAATACGCCTGACAGATCCGAAAAAGATGATGAGGAAGAAACCCCTCCAAGAAAAACTGTTCTAAGCAAATTTTTGGAAAGATAATGGGGACTAATATGTATCTATTGTTAGAAATACTCCATAATCTTATAAAATAATGAAAGCAGTTGCCCGTGATATATATTTGGCAGGTATATCTATACTATACCGCCTTAACTATATTTGTATGTATATTAATTTCTAATAAAAATATAAAAAGTTATTGAAGACCGTCTTGTATTTACTTCGTTTAATGGTTGGAAGTTATTACATATCAGGAGGCTGCACTTCAACGGATGGGATGAAAATTGTTTATACATGTAAGCAGGAGTTATATTTTTCTCTTTTGTTTTTTCACAGTCCAACGGTGATAATTTTTTCATCGAGATGATTAATAGTTCTAATGGAAAAATGCATGAAAAACCTGTGTAAACAGCATTTTGAATATTTTTTTTCATCAAATGCACACCAATTCAATGATGACATAAAAATGTGAGTTAATACTTGATGTGTGCGTATATGTATGTGTGTGTGTGTGTATATATATATATATATATTACATATATTTCAATTCACAAAATTCAACTAGTTCAGCTCATGCAATCGATTGTGCTCGCTTAAAAAAGGATCATTATCGTTATCAAACAATTCAATCTATGAGACACAAGTCTTTCCCAACAGTGCATATTAGGCTGGTGCTCGCTCGAAAATAGGCTCGGGATTGGCGAAACTGGTTTACGTCATTTGTGCCACCTTTACTACAAACAGGTCACACTTTCTGACCGCTTATATACACTCTTTTTTTATACACTCTTTTTTTGGCAAGTTCAAACTGTGATCTGAAACTTCATTTCAATTCTTATGAACAATTTGGCCGCTTGCCCTGAATACATACAATGGTAAATTTTGGCTGCTTGCTTCAATTTTACAAAAAATAAAACAAGTCTTTCATTCTATATGAGGTAAAAAAAATAAAAATTGTCCTGAAAAAAAATTAAAAATAATAAAACTACTACAGAAAAGCAAAGCAGCGGGCATTAATGACCTGACTTTTGGAAGTCCAGACGCTTTCTCCTCCTGCCAAATAATGTTTATAGTCGGTATTTGGCAATGGCTTGAGCTCGATGTTGGGTTGTGGAAAGATTCTATTTGTCACCACCTCCAAACATCCCCATCATGTCTTTAGCAGACCCCATTTGTTTCATCAAGTTTTGTAAGCCACCCATGCCACCAATCTGCTTCAACATCTGTGGAGGAAGGACTTTGCTCATATGTTGTGCATTCATGTTTCGGGACAAGGCACTCATTTCTCCCTTCTTAGGAATCTTGAGTCCCTTCATCTTGCTCCAGATCTTAGCAAGACGCTTGTATTCCTCCATCATTTCCATTACTTCTCTAACTTGACGACCTGATCCTCTCGCTATCCGCATTATTCGTGAATCATTCATGAGTTTTGGGTTAGAACTGTCCAATTCTGCAAACATTATCAGCAACTAGAATCAGAACTTTGGATACCGGAAACCTGGAAGTGAAAGTGATCCCCCTAAGAGACCAAATGAAATTGGCTGGAACTATCCATTGACCGCAACCCACAACAGATTAGCAATTAGAATCAAACACCAAAAAAACCACAGAAATTAGAATTAACTTGCCTTCATTAGTCATTGAATCCATCATAGTCATATAACGTTTTATTTTTGCCTGGCTTTCTTTCTCACGGCCTTTTGGCATTAACTCTGCACTAAATCCCGGAAGCATCGAAAAAACCTGAATATAGCAAACAGATGAATTGATAACATAAAACAAAATCCACTAAATTCAAATTCATCAGTGACATACACAGACTCAACAAAAAGGAGAAAAGCCAGGGTACTACAAAATTCAAATTATTCTTGTCTTGGAACTTCTTAAATCTTGACAATAACAAAGAAACACCTACCCTTTCTCCAAGGTACTACAAGAGATCTATATTTCTCTCCTACTCAAGAAGACTCCAGAATGTAGGTTCCCTGGTTTAAGCAGCCAATATAATATTTCCAGACTACTTCAAGAGAGAAGAAATCCTTAACCTATGTCATCCTCTATGTGCTTCACAAGCAAAGTGGTAAGCCGCTGCCTCCAGATGTGTGCCCAAATGAGAAGAAATTAGGGGTGCAACTTGGGTTGGGAAACCCGAACGCAACTCGATTTTTTGCGGGCTTGGGCAATTATTTTTATAATTAGGGTTGGGCTTGGGTTGAAGTGCTAGCAACCTGAGCCAACCCGAACCCGAATTATAATATTATTTTCATATATATTTTTACTTTAAAATACATTATATATAATATTTAAACTATGATTACCTTTTTTTCTTTTCACCTTCCTTTGTTAAATCTTAACTTATTGTATGTTAACATTTAGGAGACTTAACTTTCTAAGAATTTGTTTGTAATTTATTAAAAATCTACAAAAAAAGTTTTTGAACTTTTTCCTTTTTAAGAGTAATTTAATCTAAAACTAATTCAAGATGATATTAAATTTTCGGTGTGAAGATTAGCCACATGAATAACCCGAATTAACCCGAAGTTTTAACATGAAATCTAAGCCCGAGTTGCAAGCCCTAGAAGAAATCATAAAGCTAGGTCAACTAATACATGCTTCATATGCAACGCAGCAAGCAAAGCAGTCTTCAAATATGTTCACATTAAAAGTAGCAAAGAAGACAGTCAACCTTCTTCCTTGAACTATATATTTGCCTTTCGAAAGGTTCAAAATAGGGCTGTTAATTTACTTGAATTTCAGATTTGACATTTTAGGTCCAGTGGAGGATCTCCTGGGAATATTTCTCATCTTCCTCTTGGTTCATTTGCAAGGATAACAATTGATTGTTTAAACTAAATCTGTATCCATAAAGCCAGTTACCAGGCTTGTGACTCTATATTCAAATGCACAGCTATTGGAAATTCATGACATCCTCATATCTAGCTCAAATGTTTACAAATTCACTCCGTGCTGCCCAAATGGGATAGCATGAAGCCAAATGTTAATGCTCACACCCTAGGAATTCATGTCAGCTAGCCACTAGGAGCCTTCATGGAGAGATTATTTCAGTACACTTTTTTATTTTATTTTCTGTCTCTCATTTCTAAAGCAGCCGACTTGGGAGATACAACTAAAAGCTAAACTCCTTAAAGCTCCTATAGAGTCTCTTCAAGATTCTTTAATAACTAGAGGGGGAGAAGGCGTATCCTGTTAATATTTAAAGGTAAGTTCTGTAAAACAGCTATTAGACCAGTAGTGCTTTATGGGACAGAATGTTTGGCAGCTAAGAAACAACATACATATAAAGTGTGTTTGGCAGAAATGGAATGTTGCGATAGATGTGCAGCTAGACAAGAAAGAACAGAATTAGAACTGAGAACATTTACGAAATCGTTGGGGTAACACTTGTCTTCCTGCCTCTCCAACCAGCATTTCTGGATCAAACACTATTGTAACTAATCAAAGTCGAGATAAATTGAGGAGAATTGGATTAAGATGGTTTGGTCATGTAGAAAGAAGACCACTAAGTACTCCAGTTAGGAAGAGTGACATAACCCACGTAAAGGGTACTGTTAGGGGAAGGGGAAGGCCAAATTTACAGTGGGTAGAGTTAGTAAGGAATGATATGTTAACATGTGGTTTGAATGATGATAGAGCGGAATGAAAAATTAGGATTCATCTAACTGACCCCAAGTAGTCGGGAAAACGCTTTGTTGAGTCAAGTTTACCCCTCTGCATCTGTTATCCCACAATCCCTTTAGTTAATTTACTTTGAGAACTATTATTAATGCAAGTGCCAGAAAATTAAATAAAATATAAAAGTACGCCAACTAAGACTAAAAGAAGTCCTCCCTTTAATGATTAAAAGAGATGAGACGAGACAAACAATCCAAGATATAAGAGAACATTTCCCTAGCCAACGTTTAGATCCAGCTCAAGCCAAACCTTTTTGGTTCACCACAACATTTCCCACTTGTCTGACTATTGTTGAGTAGTTCTTAGATATCAAACCCACCATTATAGGTCCGAAAAATTATGTCCATTTGTTCTTGTATCATTTGATTTGTGGACCTAATTTAGTATGTGCTGCCTCTAATGTCACAAAATCCACTTAAATCTTAAGCAGACTACCTTGCTTAAAGCAGTGCCTCACTAGAAACAGTTTACTTGAGAAGCTCTATCTTTCCCCTTCTCTACCCCTCTATTAGAAAGCCATCAAAATGTAAATCCTTTTTACCCAATAGAAATTATGTTTATCATCAAAAAGAAAAAGAAAAAATAATAAATAAAAAAATAAGAAGAGAAGAAAGAAGAAGAAATTAATTAGGTCACATACAACCAGGTTGTTTATTCCGGCTACTTTTATGGCAATTATTTGTTGGAAATACTCCAGCAGTACTGTAATTTGAATATATTAAGCCTTTGTAAAATTTTCATTCACTACGTCTTTTTTTCCTCAAATTGATTAACTACATCTTTTATTCCTCAAATTGATTAGTAGTCAGAATTCAGAATTCCTTTCCAAACAACAGTGGCACATATTTAAATCCCAGCAACTCTTACTAAACTGTCTGAAAGGAATTTCGAGAATGATAAAGAACTTGCAATATTGATAAATAATTACTAGCATTTTCAAAAAAAAAAAAACATTTTGGATATCAAATAGACACCCTTTTCTCAAGCTTTAACAGAACAATGTTAAATATATACCCACTTACCAGGAAAATAAATAAATAAGTTAAATACAAACCTGGCCAATAGGACCCATTTTGAGTATGTTTTGAAACTGCTCATACATAATCCTCAAGGTAAAGTTCCCTTCGGAAAGCTTTTGCAGAAGCTCAGGCTGTTGATCCATAGGAACAACTTCATGAATTTTGTCCATGAACCCAGACCAGTCACCCATGCCTAGTTCAAATTGAATTTTGCAGGTAAATAAAACATTAATTCTAAAGTATTTCTAAAAAATAGTTAACTGAAATGGCCAGATAATGGTACCCAACTCGAGGCATTAATATTGGAGAAAGGAAATGCAAACCTAAAAGACGGCTGACAAATGGTTTAACATCAAAAACTTCAAACTCATCCATATGCTCTCCAGTTCCAATAAATATGACAGGACTTTTTGTTGCTGCAACTCTGGTATTGAAAGTGAAAATCAAAATGTCAAAGCTAACAAAAGCAAAGGCATGATATTTACCTTCTTATATTGTCATAAGTTCAAATAGCATCCAATAAAAAACAAGTTAAAAAAAACAACTTCAAGGGTACGTTCTTCCACCATATGATCCTTCATGGAAATTTATCATTCTTCCTTGAACAACGCCTTGCAAATTCAATCAATGGAGTTGCAAAACTAAAGACTATCCAACTGCCAACCATTTACTACAAGCCTCCTTATGGTTCTGGGTCAGGTCTTGTTTCAGCATCAAGAGGTCGGCACAAACACACCAAAGTCTACTGCTCAAATAAAGACGGCCAAATTTTTAGAAGTAGGAAGTTGTTCACTCATTAAGCTCCTCACTGCTTGCACTCCATCTTAGAGACATCTCAATGGAGGGGAGTACAAGACCATGCTAAATAGCATATGCAGCAACATCAAAAGAAGTTACTTTTTATTTCATACACCACGTGTGTTACGTTATCGTAAATCTATAGTTGGTAGTGAGATGTCAACAGAAATATACAAGAGTTCGAAGTTCCAAAGCACATGTACTAATATTACTGGACCAGTCATAGCAACCAATTAGAAGTTTCACATAATTAGAAAGTCATGATTTTCTATCCAAATGCACAATTATGATTGTACCGTCAAGAAAACAATACAAATTACAATCAGAAAAGGAACTATTGAAGTCTTTACTACAAGAAAATGATAGCTATGAGAAAAGGCTACACCAAGTGGAACAATAAAAGCCCTGTATTAATAACAACTACTAGGAATACTAAGAAAATTGCATTGCATTTCGAGAGTTTTGATAGCACTCAAATAAATCCCCACCAAGGACAGTCACGTTCTTACTGATTTAAATTCAATATTGTCAGATAAAGCAAAAGGTTCAATAACACAATCAAACGATATACAGGAAGATCAACAGCTGTGTATAATTTAACAGGTAATTAAGTGTCTGACAGAACCTCTAATATACAGGAAATGGAGAAAAACAAAAGAAAAACAAAGGTGATCTGGAAATCAGACTACAGACTAATTGGATCAGGGATAATGACTGGTTTTGCTGGCCAAAAATCATTGGCATAATGTGCTACAGACTAATTCGATCAGGGAAAATGACTGGTGTTGCTGACCACAAATTGTTGGCACAATGTACTTTTGAGTTAAAAAAGTTCTGCAACTTCTTCCTCCTTCCATTTAGGAAGGTTAAGTTTATGCAACTTTACACTGTATAAATGCTAATACATAGTTTAGTTACTCTAGATTGCACATACATTTATCTAAAAATAAAAATTAAGTGATGTAGACTCTCTTCACTGAATCAAAACAAAATATTAACCATATATATATATATATATATATATATATCACACATACACTGATAATATACAGTATATAAAAATTCTATAAAGCAGATGGAGAACATTAGTAAAAACCAACTAGAATGCTATACAAGTGCATTTAACATGTGGCAAATGTTAAGTGAGTGAATCATTAACACTTACGCACTAAGAGCGCCACCTCCCTTTGCATGACCATCCATTTTAGTAACAATCACAGCTCCAACTGCAACACTCTGTTTGAATGCTTGAGCTTGATCAAATGCAGCTTGACCAATACTGCTATCCATAACAAATATAACAAGATCCGGTTTCTAAAAGATTCCAAGAAAAGAGATTAGAAGCTGTAATCAGCAGATAATAGATAAGTAGAGCAGTGTATGAGAAAAGTACCGTTGCTTCAGAAACTTGACGCATTTCTTCAAAGAGCGCAGCTTCCTGTTTATGGCGTCCACTGGTATCTACAATTATCAGATCACAATTTTCCTTGTTGAATCTTTCAACACCTTCTACTGCAATTTTAACAGGATCTGACTCCATGTAGCTGTTGTAAAAAACCAATAAGTTATTCCATGATGAGCTCTAAGAGTAAAATGCATTACCAAATAATTAGGAGATACATTGATGTCAGAAGTTCAGAGGCATATAACTTAAATGGGAACTCTTAGAAGGGAAAAAAAAAAAAAATGAATGATCAAATTTCAAAGGTCATATGGCAAGTCCAAATTAATGAATAGTCTTGCAACTTTTCTTCAAATACACCTTAGTCACAAGACTCGCAAGTCATCTGAACTCGTCCATAAAAAATTTATTATTTAAGCAGCTTGGCACTAAAAATATGCATCCAACTTCTGCACTCTTCCAAAACTAGGCTACTCTTTTAGAAGACCATTAAAATTGTCATCTGCCAAACAGATAGAATCGAATGGAGAAGCATTTGTTGTCAATTAATAAACTGGCAATTAGATGCATGACAACATGATAAAATGAGTTGAAAGAACGATGATGGCTAGGTTTGGTGCAGAATTGCAAGTTTAGCACACAAAGTATTAATATTGCTCCTCCATATACTCCAGACTGGGATTTCAAATACATCCAATAAGTATGTACCGATCAAATCTGTCATTGTCACTGTATCTCCATGCATGTCCTAATAAAGATAAGCATATGGATACTGATGATCTTATTGTTGCTTTATTAAGATAGACATGGTATGAGATAGACAATAACCCCATGTTAACTGAATAAAAATAATTATTATTTGCAGTCGCCTCACTGGTGGGCTCTCGCAAACACTTTTTTTGTTTTTTGTTTTTGGGGACTTGTGCAAGCTAGCCTTGATTGGTCATCTGTCATATAATCCCACTTTGCAGTGATTGTTGTTAGAGGCATTTTTCTAGTTCCTATTCTACTCGACTCAACTCAGCAAAACCTTTTTCATTTGGTATCGGCTACATTTCATTTTGCTTTATATCAGACAATTTTGTCAGTTTACACACATGCTATCACAGCTTTCCTATCCAAGGTCTTAAAACGTGGTCATGTCGTTACGGTCTCAGGCTGTAACGGGAATTGGCTTACGCAAATGTGAAACTTTTTATCACTAAGAAACGTGATCAAAATGAACTGATACACAGAATTCAATAAAATCATATTTTTAATGACTTTTAGTAAATTTTAGTGAATATTCAAAGGAAATTCTATATAGTTAATGGCTTATAAATTCAATAATTCATACTTTGCTGCAAATTTACGGTCACAAATGAATATTTAAACAAAAATCAATATGTCACATTCACAAAAATTGTACACACTAATAACTTCGAAATTGAAAATGAGTATACCTACAGTTAGCACTTGGAAATCATATACTCTCATTTATTTTGTTAGATTCTATGCCTAAATAATTCTTCATTGTTTTACAATGAATTTTAGGGTAAATTACCCCAACCTCTGATATTTGCCTTTATTACCTTTGGATTAAACTTTTAAAAAAATAACTGTGACAACCTTGTCAGAGTTAAGATCCGTTAGGTTGGCTAACAGTAACAATAAATTACCATTGTCCATATTTTTTATACACCAATTCTACACATCAAGCTAACCTAACCAACCCAAAATTCTAAAAGACAAAATTGTCTTTATCATCTCTCTGCACTCAACCGCCGCCGCCACTCTCCACCCTCATTAAGGACCACATCACTTTTCCTGACCGGTGTAGCTACTGGCTGTTGGTGCACGTGATCAAACCATCTTAATCAGTACTCTCTAATTTTATCTGCAGTGTAATACAGTTTGCATCCTGTATTTTCAATTTTTCTAATTTTATCTATACTCACTTAGTTTCTTGTAAGCACATTATATTGACTCTCCTCCTAGACATAATGTCAACTAGCTCCATCCCTTTACATACTGAAACTACCGACGATGAAGTTAATGTCCGTGGTTATCATAATAATAGTTACTTCTGACTTGTGGAGTCAACAAAAAACTACAAACGAGTTTTCCTTTTTCACACTCACCACCCCATTGGCCCTTTCTGATCTTCTTCTCACTTCACTTTCTTGCTCTTTTTCTGCTAAACTAGTTTTAAAACCAACATTTCCAACTACTTCCTTTCCATACCAACACTCAACTATTCAGTGAAAAATGAATCATTATAACAGCACAACATATCAAGCTTCCAAAATCACACTTGACAGCATGAGAACCAATAAATTGTGAAAAGAGTACCTTCCATAAAAAGGAATTTTAGCTTTAGTAGCATTCTGCTTCAACTGGTCAAAAGCACCAGCTCTGAATGTATCTGCACACACCAGAGCTGGTTTCCAGCCCTTCTTCTGGTGGTAATATGCATATTTTGAACATGTTGTTGTTTTCCCAGACCCTGGAATTATTTTCATACAGAAAATCATTCATAAATATGCAAAGGAAAAAAAATTCATAAATCACTTTATGGAGGAAAGAGAAGGTAAACCACACACAGGAAAATAAATACAACATACAAAATGATTAATTACTTAAAAAATAATCCCTTCATACACCCCCCACACACCCCCCCCCCCCCCCCCCCCAACAAAAAAATAATAATAATAAAAACACCCACCAAAAAAAATCCCCTCATATTTGTCCAGTTTGAGAAGTCTATAAAAAAAACTTCTCTAGGGTTATCATTTGAACAAGTACTTCTGGAAGCTTCCTGAACAATCTAACTTTTGAAGGAGTAGTTTTGGAATCTTGTACTTTGTACCATAAGGATAGACACATAAATGCGCCTTAAAATTAGGAACTTCTTGCATGGACAAGCAATTTGGACGCAGGAGTATATATAAAGTTATTAACATGTGAAAATATTGTGGATCCATTATTCAATCAAACTACATGTAACACTCAGACAAACAAGTACATATGATGAAGGCCATGACCATAACAGCTTTTTCCAATGTCAAAAGCATTATTTAGACATTACATAATACAGAATAGAATAATCCAATCCAGAATCAGCTGAGAAAATAAACATACCTTGCAAACCTACAAACATGACTACACTTGCTTTCCCTTTCTTTGGAGTAAAAGACGGCTTCCCAGGATCCAACATTTTGCAAAGCTCATTGAATATGGCCTAGAAATAAATTTAAAGCAGGATCCACATTAGTCTAGGTCTAGCAGTGACAAAAATTAACAATAACAAAGCAATGTTATGCTAAAAGAACAAAAAAATTAATTCAATTATTTGAATACAACTTAGAAGTAACGTAAATTTAGACAGACTCAATTATTTGGATAAGTATTTAAATTCAATTCTCACCGATTGAACAAACTTCCTAAGATCCAATAAAAATAAACAGGACCAATACAAGACCATTCTCAAACTTCACTCTAGGTAGGCATGACTGCAATGTCAATATGAAATTGAAATTTTTTAGTCTTCTCAAGTATAGTTACAGACATAGGCTATGGTGAACCATGAAATGGGGGATAATCATAAAATAAGAATTGAAAATTTATCAGAAATTCAACCCCAAAAATATATATTAATAGTGCAAATGAACTCTGCATCAAAAGCCAATTCATTGGAATTTTAAGTACAAATGTCAAAATTCAAAATTTAAAACAATACATTATATAAAAACTAACACCTGAAATTTCTTAGCTGGTTCAATTGGACATTCACATTCAAGGTGTAAATCATTAATTCCACAAATCCCTATATCCCAAAACAACTCAACAATCACAATATCATAAACCCTCATTCAATAATGAACCAATTATTGAACGAACCTTAAAAAATGCCATCAAACAAACCTTTTCTTGCAATTGAATAAACAATTTTATTTGTATCAACCAACCCCTAAAATTTACATTATTTAACACCCTCCACTTAATTGGAGGGTAACTCGACCATTTGGGTTAGTTTAGGTTATATTCATATCTTTGGGAACAAGAGCAACGCAGAAGACTAGTTTAAATAATAATAATAATAATCATTATTACAATAAAATCCATTGTCATATTGCTTTATATTCATCAACACCACCAGAAATTCAGAACCTACCTGTTGGATGAAAATCCAGAACCTACCTGTTGGATGATCTTACGCTTGTTGTGGCCAGCAGCGAGATCGTCCAAATTCACTATCTTTTTTATATTTGTAGACATGTCTCTGACCAGCTTGAATTGAACATCCGCCTGAAGGAGAGCGCGCGTGATCTCATTGAGGCATTCATTCAGAACTTTTTCATCGATGATGGTGGCATTGCTCATCTGCTGAAGAGCACGCGAAATACTCCCTCCTAGCTGTGCTAACACCATTTTGATTGATTGTCTGTCTGAATAACGCGATCTGTTTTGAGATTCAGACTGAAGGAAGAAGGTAGAGAAAGAATATTTGATCAATCGATTGATTGATTGTCTGTTGTCACGATTGTTTCAAATAATTAGGGTTAGGGTTTTGGATCGGGTAGGAAGGTTGGAACCTATGCAAATAAAGGTCAAGTTTAGGAAGCCAGGCACGTGAGTAGCGATAATACAATGCGGGGAGTACAAAAAACTCGAACCAATGTTTTTTTATCGACATACTCTTATAATATTAGGATTGAGTAGAGATAATCGAATCCTATACTAAAATAGTTACCGAATCGTGACGTGATTTAGTTATCTCATACTTTTTAAAAAATAAGACTCTGATAATAAACTTAAAAATAAGAATTTAAAAGACGAAATGTTTAAATAGGAATTTTTTTTTTTTTCTTAAAAATTTGACGTGACTAATTCACCTTACGATTAAGTGATTATTTCGATAATATTTTTTTATATCATTAAATCAATAATCCAACTAATAGTTTGCATTAGACTAATTCAAGCAATGACTCCAATAAAATGGAGCCCTAGCGGTTTTTCAAGAGAGTAGTGACAGAATCCGATTGAGGTGTGGCGTGCCCGTTTAAAGGGCTAATTATAGCCAAATTTTATGGTGTTCTAACATTGCTCATCGCAGCAAAATAAAAAAATAAAAAGTGCTCGAGTGCATGTTCGAGCTCGGTCAAGCTTTGACTCCTGATCGAGCTTGGCTCACCTACTCAGTTAGGCATACAAATAAATCATTATATTTAATCTAAATTTTCAAAAAATAAGAAATAAAATAATCATTTTGCATACATGAATTTACTAGAAAACATACCTACTGACTTATACATCAATATTAGCCTAATATTTTATCTTCAAAGATTAATACTCCATCACACTTAACTGTGAAATTCTGAGCACACTTAACTGATAAGATCCATTGTATTATTGTTGGTTTGGTACGATGTGTGTAATATTAATGATAAAAACTACTCGCAATAGAATGAATTATTGTATGATAGGATTATGTTGAGAGTGTTGAACCTCAAGAATGCATAGTTAAGCATAAAATTAGTCTTTATTTTATTCAAAAGAAAGAAAAAAAAAATTTTGTTTTAGCTAGGTCTAAGTTGCAATAAAACTGAAAATAAATTAAATTAATAAGGGATGATATCAAGGTGAGGAAAACTTTGGTCTATTGCTTCAACTATAAAGAAATTCACACACATGTATATATACGGGAATCAAGTGACTACAAGGGCGGAGCCAGTATATGCCCGGGGGCACGTGCCCCCTCTGGCCTGGCCCCACTTACTATAATATATATACTATTTTACATGTATATATGAAAATTTTCATATAATGCCCCCCTAATTTTTTTAAAAAAAATTATTTCTTAAATTTTTTATTTTTTCTCTTTTTTACTCTTTAAACAGGTTTAATTCCCTTCTAACAAAGTCAAAATTTCCTTTTTGAATAAAACTCTAATTTTTTTCCCTTCCAAAATTCTCTCATTTTTCTTTCCTTTTTTAAATTTTTGTTAACTATTTATCATTCTTAAACTATTCATTGATTGATATATTATTTTGAGTAATTTTTCTTCTTTATATTTTAATTTATAGAATATATATTTATTGTCGTCATTATTGAAATATATTTTTTACACTATGCCCCCCCTAAATTTAATTTATGGCTCCGCCCCTGGCTACAAGCACACTTTAATTCAATTAAGAATGTATGTATAAATAAATACTAAGCCATAACTCATTTTTGGTTGACATGAATTATCTATCAACTACTCTAATCTACCATGCAGTACAACTCGTCTTCCCTAAGCATGAGTTATCAAAATATTTATTCATATTGATAACCAGTTCTATCATTAAGATAAGCCCTTAGACGCCAATCTCTCGCAATAGAAAGGTTTGAATTCAATTAAAACAATATTAATTCTACAACAAGAGATTAATTTTATTAAAACTAATTTTATTCATTAAAACCCAATTACTTAATACAACTAAGTCAATTGCTCAAAACTATTAAATCAATATACATATAAAAATCTCCAAAATTAAAGAATAATCAAACCATGTTACTCGGACTAGGGTTTCATAAATTTCCTAAGAAATGTTTTAGCTACTCATGGAGAGGAAAAATATCATCATTGTTGGTGTATAAAGCCATCTCCATAGACCGCCAATTGGAATCTTCAATCTTCAAAACCCTAAAAGACGTCACAAAGTAATTGAAGAAGAACAGCTTGAGAACCCCCAAAAAATGTGTCTTTTCATCTTCTTTTATAGTGATGAACACGTCCTAAGCCCTCTTGGATGGGTTTTACCACTTTTGGGGATAGTTGGGCCATATGAAAACAAATAAGAGTAATTCTACATCAATCCTGCAAGTATTTATGACTTCCAGGGTGTTAGTTTTCAAGCCCTAACATCAATGTTCAAGCCCTGGGTTTAGTGCTCGAACCTTGAGTGCTTGTGCTCGAGCACTGTGTCTAAGTGCTCGAGCACTACTTCCATACTTAGTCAAATTTTGATTAAAAAAATTAGCGTATTTTCTTTCATACTTAGTTTTTTCTTGAATTTCTTTTGTTAGTGCTCGAGTCCTGGAACCTGAATTTTATAAAATCTTCCCCGGTTGAGTCTTGAATCGACTCGGAAGGGCCCGGACATTTTCCTAAGTATCGGGAACATCGCCATAAGCTTTGAATACATGGAATTACCCGTCTTTTGGGGTAAAAACCTACAAATAGCAAATGAACGAAAACAAACATAATAATCGAAATAAAGACATTACTAAGACATTAACATATGTCACGTTTAAAGGCTTGAATATGTAATATTCAACACTTATCATGGTCCCGCCTAACTCTTGCCTCCATTTCCTTATAAAATCATTGTGTTGCGCTGATGCACTCCTTAGGAAGCAAATAAATTTAATAAAAAAAAAATTTTTGAGCCGTGGAGTATTTGAGATTGGCTCGTTATTAATCATACATATAAAATTATTTGGCTTAGTTCGTTTATTAAACAAATGAACATGAATCGAGTTCGAGCTATTCGTTGAAAATTTTACTCGCAGCTGAAGATACAAGATTTAGTTTCATTTTTCTCTCTCTCTCTCTCTCTTTCTCTTTCTAGCTCTTTCACTTTCCACCCGTCATGGTCTATTTATAGGCCATGACCTTTTTTTTGCAGTTAACCAATTACATTGGGCTTATATCCGAAAGCTCTCTTCCTTCTGGGCTGGGTCTTGTAATGGGCTTGACCTTCCTCGGTGGCCCCCCCACGTTCGGCCCATTCCAGGGTGCTTTGGCATGGATCCTACTTCAATTATTCGACCCGATCTCGTTTCCGCGATCCATATTCGGCCCATGCCACTTGCCGCATCCTCAACTGCCCCCATAATTACCCCTTATTGATTAGGGGGTAATTATTAGAGGCTGCTAATGATGACCTGACGGCTCGAGGAGATCGTGTGGGAGAATGGACGGTTAGATCTAGGGGTCGGCGCTTCGAGATTTAAAAAGACAACCCATCGCTTTCCTGACTCCTCGGCTCTTGGGCTCATCTCGTCTTTATAAGCTCCATTGATTCTCCATCGATCCTCTTTACCGTCTCCATCTCACCTTTTGCTGCTTGAATCCTCTCCGGCGATCTCTTGCGAAAGATCTTCCTTCCAGTGGCTTTGCAATACTCTCTGCCGTTTTCACTCTCTAAGATTAGTTTCATTTGTATTTTTCTTTTGGAAGACTTCTTTCTTCTCCCCGGAATCCTCATCCACTCTCACCATGTGTAATACCCCTAATTTTAAAATGATAGTCTCGGCATTTATTTATTATTTTTATTGTATTTTTCGTGATTATTTGGTTTAATTATTTTTATTTATTGATTTGGTTTAATTGTTTACCTATGTGTCATGTGTTTTAAATTGAATTAAGTTATCTTTTATTATTTAATTGGCATTTTATTGTTTAAGTGTTTTTAATTATTTAATTGGGTTTTTAATTGGAATTAATTAGTTAAGTGGATTAAGTGTTTTTAATTATTTAATTGGGTTTTTAATTGGAATTAATTAGTTAAGTGGATTTAATTATTTAATTGTTTTCTTTCATTTAATTCTGTTTTAAGTTACAGTTAACTTTGGGGTTGGAATTTCACGTATAGGTAAGCCGTAACAGAGGTAGTTTCATTGGCCGACTAGGTTTAGAATTAGGGCTCTGTCTCTGATTAAACACGGATTAGGGTTATGAGTTTTACGCCTATATATATATACGGTGATAATCTGTATCAAGGGTTAGAAAAACCCTATTCACGTACCAAAGATACAGAGAGAGAAACAAAGAGCAGTTGTGGGAAAACTTAGAGACGACACGGGGATTTCAAAATTGAAATCACAGGCAAGTTCTTATCTTCCTCCTTCTCTTTGGCTCGTGTTCTGTGCACCTAGATAGTCTCTAGGGATTAACTAATTAGTAAATGAAACTTATGTGTTTAATGTATGCTTGTTGATGATTTGTTTGCATTGGATCCAAATCTGTTTACAGTTCGTGTATTGTTGCTCCCAGTTCTGTTCATTAAAGCATATTAAAATCTGTTGAGATTTTAGTTACGATTCTTGCCTCTATCTTCTGTAAACAAACCCTGGGGATGTTAATGGGATGATATAAGACTCCTAAGATCAGTTTGTGAAGAGAAACAGAGAGGTTGGAATAGAATTATAGTTTCAGTTTTGTTCCTAACGTGGGTTAGTTCGGTAGCAAATTTAACCTCTGTAATTGATTTTAATTGTTGTTACCAAGCCATTGGGATGCTACTGGGTATTAATATGACACCTAAGTTTGGTTTTAAAAACTAACAGAGTGTTAGGAATAAGCCGGAAAAGGAGCACAAGGGCTGAAACGACGCACCGGGGACGAAGGCTCTCAAAGGAGGTGAGAGCCGGCTCCATAGAAGTGGGAGCCGGCTCCCACAACAAAGTAGAGCCGGCTCTAAGGAGTCCTAGAGCCGGCTCTAGGCTGGAAAAAGAGCCTGCTCCAAATTGTGGAGCAGGCTCCCTTGTTATTTTTGATTTATTTTAAGTTTTTTTTTTTATTTTCCACGTACTATGTTCACTGTTGGAGCATGGAGACTATTTGAGTGAATTTGGAACTTTACAGAGGGATTAAGAAATGAATTTTGAGTGTTATTAAGACCCTAAATT